CATTATAAGGGGACCTCAGAACCCTGAATCTGATCCTCACCTTTAGGACAATCATGAAGAGCCGGTCAGAGAAGATGACTCATTGCAATTGTTCTCTTCAGCTGTTGGCTGTTAGTTTTTGTCCATTTGTCAAGGTCTTTGTTGCTGCTTGTCTGCAGTCAAAGACTGCCCGTCACTACTTGTAGTATTGAGGGCAAGCATGTCCTTTGAGCCTTGCCTTTCCCAGACACTAGCACTTTCATAACTCAGCCTTGAAACTGCCTTTTACCTCCCCTTATGCTGCAGCAACATGTGCGTGGCCAACTCAGTTTCACCCTACTGGAAATGCCACTCTGCTATCCACACCAAAGCAGTGCAAACATGTAAATACACACACACACAAGCATTTATAGTTATGTAAATGTTCAGTGAAGTTGATATGATGACAATACATAAACACATCAGTAGGCAGAACTATGTAAAAAATGGGGGAAAGGCAAACCAAATGTGGTGGAGGAGGGAGGGAAATGATCTGAACAAAGCAAGAAGCTGCCAACTTCAGCAGAATCTGAAAGCAGCTTTGCTTGAGAATGCAAATGTTCCTGTTTTTACGCACAGTGAGGCAGGACCACCTCCTACGTGGAAGTCCAGTCCTACTGCTGAATTTCTGTTTCTACACTGAGAAAGAGGATGTAAGGCTTAGCTTCACAAATAGTTCAAGGCTTCCAGTGTTTTCTCGTTGGAAACAGCTGTATAGAGGGAGGACTGTTCTGAGATCTCTGGGCAGGAGCACAGGCAGGACAGGTACATATGGCATAATGTTAGTCTTAAGCTTTGTGCTTTCCGGTGAACGCATACCAAACCACGGTGGCATCAAGGTGCTTGCACACTGTGTTGGCAGGCAGTTTTATTTTCCTCTGATGTGGAGCTGAAAGTAACTCTGGGAAGGGCTGGGATGCTGCCCCTGGCAGTCCTGAGCTAAGCAGAGCTGGTCTCTGAAGGCCAATCTTGTTTGAGTGAGGGCTTGATTAAAGATGAGTGAGAAAATCTGTTCAAAGGAATGGAAAGCCTTGGTCTGTGTTTAAAATCGTTAGCAGACTGTTCCTCGCATAGTGGTGCTGAGGAGGCAGGGCCCTGTTTCTTTTGTGCAGCAGCAGTGGTTTTGTGCTGCAGGGCTGGAGGCTCTCAGCTGCTCAGTCCAGGCAGCGGATCCCTGTGGGGCAGAAAAAGAGGTGCAGCGTCTGACAGTGAGCTTCTTGTCACTGGGGTGGGCAACGTTAAAATTCCATATCCAAACATTTCTAGGCAGAAGGATTTAAAATTGATTTCCATTTCCTAAAGATAAGTGTGCTTGAATCCATTCAGTGTTTGAATTGTTCAGTTGTGTTGTGTAGTTTCAGTTCAAATCTGAAACTACTCTTCTGTGTCTGAGCTCGGAAATGAAAGCATTTGTGAATTTCCGACAGTGTTCTGGATTTCTATAGAAGATGTAGCGGAAAGGAAGTTTTTTGTTTTGCTTTTAAGTTCTAAATATTTGAGTCTAGCCGTTTCTCTTTCTTGAAATTACTGAAACTCAAAAGCAGTTAAGTTCTACAACATAGACAAGCACCTGAACTTTGCACTTTAGGGAGCTCTAATTCTGCTCATTGCCTCAGTGATGTAGTAGTGAAAGGAGCCAGCAATGTGCAGAAAGGAATAAGATTAGAAAGTCATAAAAGAGTTATTTATAGGTGGGTCTGCTTGCTCTGTCAATGCTTATTCATCTTATGCTAACATATGAGGCTTTCTCTGAGAAGCAGTTCTGAAGTTCTGGTTTGTACACCAGTGTCCCTGCATAGAGTTGTATTTATCTGCTTGTACTCTTGTGACTAGTCACTAGTGACTTTCCCACAAACAGCTTATAGGATCATGACCTTGCTGCAAGTTAGAATTCAGTGGGAGAAAGCTAACTGCAGAGGAGCTGGATGTGTAGTTTTTGGCAGTCTCGAGCCTAGGTTCCACAGCATGCACAGGAATCGTTTTGTTTCCCATCCTGTTCTTACTTTTTACAGTGTCTAATAGAAATACAAATATTTTTCCCTAAATGCTTGCCTGAAAAATGTCCAAAAAAATTTAGAAGGCATCTGTCAGGTTTGATGTAATGTTTTAGGGGCCAAAGAGCTGGAGTCAGGTCCCTGTGGTACAGTGATTCGGGGGAAAATGCTGAGATGCCACTTCTGCAGAAGTTCAGTCAGATGTAGTCTTCATCTTCCTCTGCTTGTTATGCTTCATATGGCAACCTTTGCATGCACTAGTTCAACTGTTCTTGCAAAATTTGCAGTCTGTAATTCATTCTGAACTAAGTCTCTCTTCTTGTACTTTGTGGTTTAGCTGGGCAAGACTTCATTTTAAATTTAAGAATGGGATCTGCTTTATCTTGACCAGACTCAGTTGTTTGCCGGCAGTATGGCCCATTCAGCACATGCACTTATAAATACGTGGATGCTCTAATAGACTACAGCAGAGCTAAACTGCCCATTTTTCAAGGCTAAGATATATCCAAATCAACTGGCAGCTATGAATGCCTTGACTATAAGGTTCACAGTTGCTGGTAATAAAAATACGGCTTTAAAGCTAAGAAGGAAACTAAGGGGATAGCTGGAAGTCAGCCAGAATATTGTGTGTCTGACTGAGGTGAAAGTGGCTAGTGTAGTGTTACTTAGGGAGTGAAATAAAGCGAAGAGGTGTCTGTTATGGGGTGAGTGGAGTCCTTTGAGGTCTGGTGCTTAGTTGCCCATCTCATTTCACTGCAACACTGAGATCACTGAGACTGTGTCTCTCAGCCAGGCCTATTGGAAACTGGGGTAAAAAGAAGTTCTGGAGGAGTGAAGAGAGACCCTGCAGAAGAGTTTGCCATGACTTTTGGCTCTGTAGGTAGAGAAAAAAGAGTTGGAGTAAATGAAGAAATGAGTTTTTGGAGCGTTTGGGCCTGGCAGTGCAGAGACATTGTAACCTGTCAGGGCCTGGAAGAGGGGCAAAGGAAAAGCACAGGTCCAGGTATACTGCTTTTAAATCTGGGGTGGATACTGCAGCCAGAACATAGCTTGGTGTTCAGTTCCTCTTGCAGCTGTTCTGCTTTGCATGTCTTAATGTGCAGTTTTTGGGTGCCACGGTTTAAGAAAGACAAAGGGCTGTTAGGAAGTGGACAAAGGAGGTACGCAGAGAGAGTCTACAGGGCAGGGTGTGTGGGAAGTGTGACTGAGGTCCTTGGGTTTGCTCAGCACAGAGCAAGGAGCTGAGGGGAGCCCCCATGGCGGCTGCAGCTCCTCACAGGGAGCGGAGGGCAGCACTGAGCTCTGCTGTCAGTGGCAGAGGGAACGGCATGGAGCTGTGTAAGGGAAGGCAGCTGGGGGTTAGGGAACGGTTCTGCACCAGAGGATGGTGAGCATGGACCAGGCTGCACAACGCAGTGGGCACAGCCCCAAGTGTTGGAGTTTGAGGAGTACTTAGACACTGCTCTCAGATGTAGAGTTTGGAATTGAAATGGTCCTGTGTGGAGCCGGGGGTTGGACTCCGTGGTCCTTATGGGTCCATTCCAACTCAGGATATTCTGTGATTCTGTGAATATGAATTATTCATTAAATTCAAAATGGGAGACTGTCTGGGAGGGTGCTGTAAGGAAGGAATCCTAATTTGGATATACGTGAGGAAAACAGATCCTGCCTTTGTTTCCTAAGCTGCATGCCTAGTTCCAGGTGGCCTGTCATCTCTGTTCTTTACTGAAAGATTGCCTCAGTTTCCTTTGTTCATTGAATTGCGACAAAATCCTTCTCAACACATTTCAAGCTACTCTTTTCGCTTTGCAAATCAACGTATAGTCGGTGGGTGATGATAGGCCAGGAGTCACCTAATAGTGAAAAAAAGCAATTCCATGGCTTGCAGGCAGCCTCCAGCTTGCTCCTTCCCCCAGATTAGTGAGAATTTATGAGCCACATATGTAAGTTAGTTGTGCAGAAACCACTGTGTACTGCTCTTATCTCTGGATCCCATGGACAGGCAGCTTTGGCTGCTCAGTGCAGACTGGCGGCTCCAGCTTGCTGCAAGGTATTGGAAGCTGCATAAGCCGGAGATGGCAACGGTACAGCAGTTGTGAAGCGTTTGGCTTTGCCACAGAGACAGTTTCCATAGTGATGGTTAAGCTCCAGGCCACTGGTGATGCAGCTGCTACATTGGACAAGATCAGCATCTTCTTTATATATAGGCTGCTCTAATGAAGCTGTATGGCCCCATTTGGTTGTATCCAGCTCTGGGATGTAAAATGAGAGATGAGGGGAAGGTTTAAACTGGCTGAAGTACTCAGAATAAATAAATAAATAAATAAATGTATAAGTGTTTTAAATATTAGAGCATCCTCAAATGACTGTTGTAAGAAACAGCTTGACTGCAGCTAGTATTCTGGTCAGTACTTTCTGTGATATCGCATGCCAATGTTAATAGCTCCTAAGGTTCTTCAAGCTGGAGAATTAGATTTGTGTTCCCAAGTCCTACTTCCTTTTCTAAAACATTGTGGCTGGATTGGATCCAAAACCAGAATGTGTCTCTTTCTGTATCAAGACCATACATTTTTAGGGACTTGAGGAAAGCAGATGGTCTTGCAACTTCAGTATCTCAAACACTGAATTGTCCTAGGATTCCCTTGACCCCTCCTTCTGGATATCTCAGCACCTCAGCATAGATATATGAAATTAATTTTGAGCTCCTTCTGCAGGGTCCTACAGCCTGTGGTCTCCCTTTGTTTACTGCTGGGGCAGAAGGCACAATATCTCCAAAGTTCTTGACTGGAAATGCACATTTTTTACTTCAGCTTTGAATTCTTATCAACCTGCTCTTTGAGTGCTGCAGCATATGAGTAGGAACTGTGTGTTAAACAGCTCAATTAAAATAATAATTTGATAATTTTGACCCAGAATTTTAGTAGTTTTAAACATTAATTGTTCTCTTGTGAGCTAGAAGCTAAAATAAGTTTATGTTTTATCTTTCAGGTGGTGCAGGAGACCGGGAAAAGATGCCTGTCAATCATGAAGCTTTCCTGCTCATGGCTAATTCCCAGAATGAAATGGAAGATTGGGTGAAAGCCATCCGACGGGTTATATGGGCTCCTTTTGGTGGAGGTATTGCAAATAGCTCACATGCACATAAATTAAAACATTTGCCTCAAGGTAAAACATATTCTTGTGATACTAGGATATGTGTAACACTGTAAAATCACTGAGATGCCTAGATAATCTCTTGATTGTCTAAAGTGTTTTACAGCACGGAGATTGGGCTAGGCTTTTTTGCCAGGGGATGGAAGGGAATGGAAGCGGAGGTCACATCCACACTGTATTACTTACAGTCAGAAATGGTGATAATAACAAAAACATTTCTATTGTCAATGTCCACTTTCTTAAAGCTGATAACTACTCTGTGGATCTCCCTTATTCCTGTAGTTGTAAAAGAGTATGTCCAGTTATCTCTGGCTTCCACTTCAAGGGCAGATGCCCATCTTTAACCTCCTTGAAGGCAGAGGCTGCAAAACTCTTTATTTGGTCTGGGCCTGGTTGAGAAGACTGAGTTTCCACTGGCTTGACTGTGGGAGAAAAAGAACAGGGTCAAGTTGAGAGAGCACCTGTAAAGTGTACCATAGTAGACAGTCCCTGTATTTAAAATGAACAAAAATGTTGATACTGTACTACAGTCTTCAAATTCTCATGTTGTAAGATTAGGTGGACGTTTTAACAGTGTGGTACAGAACAAGTGTTCATGGATGTTTTCTGCTGGGTTCACTGTTAGTGGTAGCAACACTTTGAAGTGGCTACTGATGGGCATCTACGCAGATAGTGATATCACGTGTAAATAGTGATATCAGCCTCTTTTAAGAGGTTAAAGATAAAGGATGAAGATGTTTAAGGATGAAAAGAGCTAGATAAGAGTTAAATAATACAATTAGCTTTTCTGAAATTAAATTACTAATTCCCGAATCCAGGGTAAAAAAGTGATCAGTGCAATTGAGTTTGGCTGAACTAAGGTTGCTAAGAAGATCCAGCTGGCTTAAGAGCTGCCCTGTAGAAGTGAAGCATAGTTGGAAAGAACAGAAATTGTGTATAGAGTTTTTATCTCTGGATCAAAGCTACTCAAGAACATGGCTGATCAGACTGGCCTTAGCTCTCTGCCTTGCTACTCAAATTCAGCAGGCCTAGCTTTGTTATGTCTGTTATACTCTGCAGTCAGTGCTACGTGAGCAGATTCTTATCCTACGGTTTCAGCACTCCTCTGAACTGACTGTGTACTACCTGCAGTGGGCTTCTCCCACCTTGCAACTATGTTGCCACCACATTTGGTTTTGCTGATACCAGTGGTTATGCTGTGCAGGGGGAAATGACTTGGGAGAAAAAAAAAAGTGGGAGTGAATTAGCTTTAAGGTGGATTGTCTTCTTCGCCCAGCTGTGCAGGCAGAAATAGCAGCAGTTCTATCACAGTGAGGGCGGTGGGGTGGAGAAGGGCATGCTTGTTCATTCTGGCTACAGCCCACGCTTCAGTTGGCTTAAACAAACCGTGGAACTGCATCCTCAGTCTCTCCTCACAACATGTTTATAAGAATGCCAATAACTGGGAGATAGTTAAAACATCCAAATCATTGTTTCTAAATGATCAAGACTATCCCTCCTTCGTCAGAATCAGAGCAAGGTGAAATCCCAGCCTACCTCAATTGTGGGAGGACTCTAAACATAGCTGTCTCTGTTTTAATTGAATAATTTGAAATCTGCTTTGCTACCGCTGCTAATTTGAGAGCCAAGTCTTATCTATCGACACTTTTTAATATATGACGCTAAAGGAATGGGAGTTAGGAATTATAATGCAGGCTTCATTATTAGTATGTAAATATCCAGCTCTGGAGAAGGCTGATATGATGTAGGAATGAATTATGCCAAGATAAAATGAGAGGCTTAGCCCCACTTTAATCTTTGCTGATGTATTGAAGAAACATATAAATCAAAAAGTTGAAGGTATCTTCTTATGTGTTGGGCTGGACACATTAACTATGTTTAAAGGTGAACAGCAAAGATTTAGAAACAAAACAAAACAGAAAACACTCCAAAGCTGCCGAGGATCCAAAATCATTAATAGAAGACATGTTCAGGCCTAAAATCCATACGGAATGCATTTGAAATGTGGTCTTAAAATAAAATCCTAGAATTCCCAACTCTTTTAAAGAAGGGTTGTCCTGTTTATGGAGAAAATAAATTGGAACCATTTCCGTAAGTTTTAGGCTTCTGAATTCTTGAGTCCAGGCCATCTCATTCAGAGTTGAGATTTAGAGTAAGCTGCATGTTTGAGTTTATGTCTTCAGGAATAATGTTTTTACAGAGGCTTGATACAAGTAAATTTTGGAGCACATTCTGACAAAGTGTTTAAAATTGTTTCCTCTGATCCTTCTTACCTCCAAAAGGAACAAATTTTGCTCTGTGTTTACACCACTGAAAGTTTATCTAGAAAAGTCCCTCTGAGCCTTACAGTCATGTTGTTCTCTGGTTGCTTTTTTAATATGGAAGCCTTGTAGTTGTGACATAGTGCTAGAAGTATAGCCAGTCCACAGGCTTGGGTGAGAGTGAGCCTGCCAGCATCCTCTGAAATGGGACGTATGGAAAATACTGGGAGTAGCGAGGTGAAGAGGTGATCTTTCCTCACTCTAAATCAGCATTGGGATTGTACCTCCACTCTGAAGAAGAAATATGGCTACTCTAAGGAGGTCCCTTGCCATCTATTCACCTCTTTTCATGTCTTCTTCATTTTTGTCTTGTGTAAGATTTAAAACATAATGTGTCTCAAGCTGAATTTGGGCCTGGTGGTACAAAAGCAGAGTTTTTCAGTGTTCTGAGCTGAAAGCCCTGAAGTGCATGTAGCAATCTTACAGCCCAGCACATGACCAGCATTGCATGGGGACAGAATTATTTTGTGTTAACCATGTGCTGTGTTTGTATGTTTCCCTCTGTTTACTTGCTGTTTCTTGCCATGAGCAGTTTCCTTGCTCCTCTGCCAGAAATGCATGTTCCAGCCCCTTTCTTTCTCGATTACTTTATCCTAATTCCTCCTTCTTGTTATCCTAAGCTTTCATCAGTTCCTTGTGATGGAAGGGGAGTAAAACAGTTGGAGGGAATGTGCTTCCCTTAGGCAAACGAAGAGGGCTTTACCTGTGAAAGCATAATCATTCTGAAGGAACTCCATGGCCTTTTTTTCATATGAGAAGAAACATTTCTGAGGGATGGTAACTTTTTAACCAATGGACTGTGCAGAAGTGTCCACTGGGAAAGCTGCTCTGCTATCATTAATTCCAATTTCTCTATATAGACAAAGCTTGACATGTGGATTTTTTCTTTTGCCAGCAGAACAGTGCAGAGGAAGATTGTGCTGGCAGTCAGAACCTTATGCAGACCATTTTTTATATTTGAGGAGAGCTGAGAACCAGAGGAGGATTTTCCAAGGTTTAATTTAATACCCATCTCAGTGTCATTATTAGTTGTGTAAGGATAGTCCTACGTAGGCCTAATGAGGTATCCTATTTTTACATAAGTAAGTGTCTTTGTGATAAAATCTGCGTGAAAGAAAAGTTACTGTTTTGAAGGATCTGATGTTGTTATTAGATGCACATCCACAAGGATACCAGATTCTTTAGGAACTTTGGTATTATGCTAAGTCTTGTGAGTTTGGGGTTTAATTTTTCTACCTGTTAGATGGGGATTTTCCAATAACACCATCATGACCACAGAATTGTCTTTGTGGATTTAAGATGCTAAGATATCACAGAAGAGCAAAGAGGTGACTTCTGCTCTTCTACCTGCCCAGTATGAAGACTGAGAACAAGTTTCTGCTCCATGTCTGGTTAGAGGGCTCCCCTAGAGTGGCAGATTAGAGGATTCCTGCCTGAGCCTCAGAGAGCCCTCTCATTTGGTTGCAGGGTGGGCTTCTCTTGCTTAGGCTCCCACAGGTGTGTGGGGAGTGGCACTGGGTGTTTGTTGTGCCTATGTGCTGTTATCTCTGCATGGAGACAGCTGGCGCCAGGTTCAGCTTATCAGTGTTTGCTCTTCAGTGTTGTCTCATAGTAGGAGGTGGGCCCAACCAAGGGGGGAGAGAGAGAAAAATGATAGGGGTTATGAGTTCAGTTATCTGCCTAGGACTAGGAGATGCATGAATAATCTGAGGTGATTCTGGCTAGCTTTACCCCAGGCAGATGTATTACAGGAAGTTACACTTGTGGATATAGATGTTCAGATGCAGAGCTGAAGTTGGGAGCAGGTGTCTTGCTGTCTGTCTGAGCTGCTCGCAACAGAAAAAAATTTAAGGTTCTAAGATCTTTCTCTGAAATCTGATTAAGTTACTTTTTTTTTTTTTCTTTTTTTTTTTCTTTCTTCTGATCATCAGATGTATCTGGGGCTTTTATTGCTTCTTTATGCCCAGTGTATTCCATCACCACAACACAACCTTGAGGTAGAACAAGGCTGTTGTCCTTTTTTGTCAAGAAGGAATTTGAAGTACTGAGCAATCAAATAAGTTGCCTGAGGTAACACTGAGTATCTGTAAAAGAGCCCCTCTGGAGGCATCACTCAACAAGGTAGATAGTAGAGTCACAACCCCCTGGGACTCAGGGGAGCAGTTGATTTAACTGTTCAGATGTTCTTGAAAGAGTCCTATGGGATAGAATCCTGGAGAGAACAGGGGTCTAGGAGAGCTGTTTTCAAGGATTTTCTCCTCCAAGCTCAAGAACAGTCCACACTGATGTGCAGGAAATCAAGCAAAGGTGGAAGGAGGCCTACGTGGATTAAAAAGAAGCTCTTGACAATGCTCAATCTTAAAAAGGAAGTACAGGAAGAGTGGGAAAAGGGACAGGTGAACTAAGGAAAATATAGAAAAGCTGTCTAAGCATGCAGGAATGGACTTAAGGAAGATAAAGTCTACATGGATTTGAATCTGATGAGGGATGTGATTATCAACAAGAAAGGCTTCTTCAGTTATATCAGCAGTAGAATAAAGACCAGGGAAAATGTAGGCCCACTACTGAAAGAGATGGGAGATTTGGTGACAAAGGATGAAAAAGGTGCTAAGGTATTCAATGTCTTCTTCACCTCATGTTTTA